TGTCTGTAATGCACACGCCCCTTCAGAGTCAAGAACCAATCAAAATTTGTGAAGACAAGTGATCTGAGAGCGCGATTCGCAACGCTGCGATCGCTATCATGTCCCGTGTGTCGGGTTTCACCCTGGCTGCGATGACAGCCGCTAATCGCTGTAGTTTGTCGCTGCCCGTGTGTCGAGCCCTTAAATCTTTAAAATGTGGCTGGCTCTTGAGGTGGGGAGAAGTGAATAATACCACAATTTATTAGAACCTCTGGTTACAGGATGAATCAATTCCATCAAGAACCCTCTCCACACTGCCTCACTATAACTCACAGTTCAGAGCAAATGACCAAATTTTAGTTCAAAATCTGTAAAATTTACTGAATAGCAGCCATTTCTGTGTTTAGGTTTGATTGGCGGTGGCAGCCATCTCGAACTGAACCAGATTCAGTTGTTAATCAGTTGTATATTTATATTTAATGTTTACGTTCTGAGAGTTTCATAAAATCCATCTAATGGATCACGAGATATACCTTATCATCTACCTTTTGGGTGATAAACAAGAATGATTCTGTCATGACCTCAAACAGATCAGAAATAATATGTCAACATAATTCTTTGTGCATTTAGATACACAGATCACGCACAAAGGAAGTCACATGTAACCATGGTTCAGAAATTCATACAGGCTCTCTTTAGAGGTAAAGGTTCGAAGCTCAGGCAAATTTAAATTTTAGGACCTCCTACGACATATGGCTATGTCCAGACACTGAGCTGGCCTGCCTACACTTCAGAATATTTATTTGTTGGAGAAACCAGGACTGTTGAGAAGCTAAAATCTTACTTCAGAGAAAGTGAGCAGAAGTCTGTATATTAAATAGAAAAATACCACATGTCACCACTTTATTGTGTGTGTGCTTTACACTTACAAAAATAATGTTATTTGTGGGGTGGATAGTTTCCTGTGATAACAACAGAGGAAACTATCCACCACAAACGTATTGGTTATGTTGCACTAATACAAATAATAATCTGAACATCTATACAATTTTGCATAAGTACATAATAAATAAATTTCTTTTAAATTAGATCAAATTTTAGTTATGAAGCATCAGTATATTCTTTTGGTATGTTAAAATTAATAATATATTTTCAGATCTAAAGCCTGTCTGTGGCCTTGAAAGCCTAAACAAAATGGCTGTGTATCACATGCTCTCAGAATACTTATTGAAAACCTGGTCATACCTCCTGGCAGTGGTCCCTTTTACATAAGCAATGGAGTGACTGAAATGTGTTTGGCTATGTTCACACTGCAGGTCTTAATGCTCAGTTCCGATTTTTTGAAAAAATCCGATCTTTTTGTGTGAACGTTC